TTGTCTTTCTGTTACTGATTACTGATTTCCAGAGAAAAGAAAGTTGTCAAAGCATGTTAAAATTTTGTCGGAACGAACAAAAAGATTGAACAAAAAATATAAGAACAAAAGGAGCGTTGGGGGTTCCGCTTAGAATTTACAAAATACACAGTTTGGTCTCGTAATTTTTTTGAAAAAAAAATTAATATATTTTTCTAAATTAAAAAACTATTTAACTGACAAAAATTTAGGCTCATTAAAAACTAATAAGAACTTGATCAATTTTTTTCGATTGGAAGAACAAAACAAATATCAAAATTATTTGAAGTTTTTTTCTGAGTTTGGGAAAATTTGAATCACTTCAAAACAGAATGCATATGATTCATCGGGAGCGATCTCTGCACTATTTTTAACGATTTAAACTGTCAATTTTGAAAAATAAAGTTTTTTTTCAGGTCAACTCGAAAAAGTTTTGGATTCTCGTTCTAGAATCAATTTGTTTTGATTGTACACCTAGTTTCTGTTATATTTTTGGGTTTTTCGACAGAAATTTTGGGATGGTTATCATTGCAAGATTCTTGCAAGATAGCCTCCTTCTTCCAAGATTCTTGCAAGATAACCTCCATCTTGCAAGATCTTGCAAGATAACCTCCATGTTGCAAGATCTTGTAAGATAACCCTCTTTTGCAAGAATCTTGCAAGATCTTGCAAGATAACCTCCCTTGGTCGACTAGGGCGTCGTCAAAATCTTAGAAATAAAAAGGCCCAAATTAACAAATCGGAAATACGTGAAATCAAAATACATCGAAACTGCTCTAATGAGAATGAGGCATTGAATGAACGAAAGATTTGAAACGTTACTGACATTGTTTTCAGCAACAATAAACATGAAAGTTTTCCATTTTAGAAAAAATGAAGTCCAAAGTGACATAAATTTTGATTGGAAAAAAATAGATTTCTGTTAATAAATAAAATTGCCGCCTAAGCTGCGATTCAAAAAAAGTGCTGAAAACCCTCAAGTTCATTTTGAATCCCCAATTTTGGGCTTCATATAGTAAAAATCACGTTTCTTGACTATCGCGAAAAAATATTTTCTCTTATACAGGTTTTTTGGAGATTTAACCCTTCTAGAACTTTGTTGGGTCGTGTAGGAGCCTTCTTGCGATATATATTTCTCATTAATTAACAAAGTAGTTTCAGCGTAATTTTTGATTAATTGAAAAAAGCCAAAGTTACCCATTTTTGGTGTAAAATTTTGGTTGAGAATTTTGGAGAGAAAATTGCACCATGTTAGTTCTCGTGAAATTCTAAGCATTTTTAGTTCTGCTCATTTTTTGTCTAATCATAACCATATTTGAGAAAAATTTTGTTTGAACATTCAAGTTTTGTTTATTTAGTCCGGTTACTTTTAATCAGCACTGCATCAGCTACAGAATTATTTTTTCATTTCAAATTAATTTTTCCCAAATTGTCGGAATTTTTTTTAAAAAATGCGTCTAAGAAAATCATTTTTTCAGACGTTTTATGCAGTTCAATCATCAGTAGTTACTTTTTCACTAATGATTTAAACAAATGCGGCAATGTTGAAAAAAATATATGGGTATCTCACAGTTTTCAAAATTTTCTATGGAAAATGATTTAGCCTTCGACAAAATAAAAAAACAAAAGAGGGGAACCTAAATAACAATTTCCAGATTTTGTTGTGATTTTCACCAGGTCCAGAGAAGGATTTTTGAGTAACAGATCTAAGTAAGGACGTCTCCAAAATTTTATTTAAATAAGAAGTCCAAATTTAACAAATCAGAAAAACGTTTACAAAAATAGCAAAAACTGATCCTATGAGAGCGAGACATTGAAAGATACAACTGCTATGAAACGTGACTGACGTTGTTTTCAACAAAAATATACATGAAATCTTTTAAGAAATCAACAATTTTTTTTGAAAATATTTTTGACTGAGTTTCTCAATTTAAAACCGTGATTATAATGAGGGAAATATTGTTCTCTACAAAACTGCCTTACGTCCGGCTGTCTCATAAATCGTAAACTTCTAATTCAAGAAAAAATGTAAATATATTCGGAGCTGGTGATAGATAAATAAAACGACTGGCAATTAGGGCAGCAATTTGGAAAAAAATTCAGAATATGTGATGCAGTTTGAAGGTATTCAGCTCAAAGTGAAAATATGAAATGAAAAAGAGAAACAAGGTTCGAGTCATACATAATTGATTTTTTGAATACTATTTTAGTTTGCAGATAGATTCATAAATATAAGTTTTAAAAGTTATACTTTTGAAGCCATTTTACAGAATAAAACTGTCATAAAAACTTGAGTATTCTTATATGGGTCGAACTGATCGAAAAATGATCAGACCGAAGTCGGTCGAACAGCTAGTTTATCCAACACAAAATTACGCATAGTACAAATAGTTAGAAGCTTGAATCATTTATGAATCTATATGAAAGCTTAGATCAAGTTTAAAAATGCGAAAAAAAATCAATTCTTCATGACTTGAACCTTGCTTTTATTTCTAAATTTCACTTTGAGCTGACCGCCTTGAATTGTTCTTCAAAAATTTCCCCCATTTTTAAGATAAGTTTAGTTTCATAACTGATTATAATGAGGAGAAAGGTTACGTAGCAGAGTGTAGACAACTTCGTATTGATACTCGTCAGTAAGTAGACAAATGCTATTCTAACCAATCAGACTCGAGACAAAAAAGCAAACGTACAAACTTTATAGGCTATACTTAACAATCGGTCCGCCCTCCCATCCTATGGTATCTACCGAAGAACTGACACCCCTGTAAATAAAAACAGTTAATAAGCATAATTAGCATTAGAGCGTTTTTATAATTCGAATTTTGCTGCCTTTTGATTGGCCGAAAATTCGACCAACTTAACCAGCATAATTAGCATTAGAGCGTTTTTATAATTCGAATTTTGCTGCCTTTTGATTGGCCGAAAATTCGACCAACTTAACCTACTTAAAACTTGCCCCTTGAAACTTGCAAAGCCCTGAATGTTCCGACTGCCTTTTAAGGCCTATGGAGCAGTAATAACATGAAAACACTAAATGTATTTAAAAAATTTTTTTTTTTTAATTTGACATATATTTTGTGAAAATCATCCTCCACACGCCATCTAAAGTACAAAGTGATAATTTTCGCTCCCAGTAACAATTCAATGATGGCTAAAAAAGCTTCCTTCTAACAATTTGAAACGATTTCTAAGACGGATTAAACCTCCGCTTACGCATTAATAGCGCGAAATATATCGCGCGGTAATTGTCCCAACTTGGCCAAAATGGCAATCTTTAAACCTTCAAAACTTTAACAAAAAATGATCACAGGTGAAATATCTTTTCAAATTTAAGCTCAAGACCAATACTTTTTGAATGATCCAGAGAAATTCCGACAAAATGGCTGGTAAAAGAGTCGAAATTTGTCTGAAGAAAAAAGCCCACCCCGAGCAAAAATATTCCGTTACTTTCGTTACGAAAGTTGGGACAATAAACGGAACATAAATAAAACGTTGACTCAAATGATTCCATTAAAACTCAAAATACAAAATTGTATGTACAATTTCAAAATGATCATATTTTGAACGTTTGTGTGAAATGCTTATTTTATACAAAATAATACATGGGATCAACCGTACAATCTCTCTTCAGTGACTTTACCGCAGAATGCCCTCCCCAACACATGTATTATATCTGCAAAATAATTCGGTATAACTTATGCATTTCATACAAACGCGCAAATGAAACTCGCATTTGCATTTTTACGCGGGATTGCATTTGTATGCTGTTACTTACACAAATTAATCCGCACTTGATTACCAATTTTCCATACATTTGATGTAGGCAATTGTATGATTAGCATTTTCGGTGTGGGGAAATGTAAGATACGCATTTGCGGTTTATGGATGCAACCCGGGTTTCTAATAAGAATTCTATTTTTGCTCTACTTAACGGATCAAGTTAACATCCCTAAGCACTGCATGTAAAATGCTCGATTCTGATTGGCTGAAAAGTTCCCAACTTAGAACCAAGTTAACATCCCCCCCCCCCCAACGGCTTAGCAAATACGTGGAGGATGTTAACTTGGTCCTACTTATAACAATCTCCCCCCCCCCTTTTTTCTTGAAAGGGATGGAGAGTTCGAGCTGGGGGGATTGTACGGTTGATTTTTGTTTTCCATGCAAAACGTTTTCTTTTTGTTCCGACTTTCGATACGAAAGTAACGGAATATTTGTGCTCGGGGTGGGTTTTTTTTTTCTTCAGACAAATTTCGACTTTTTAACTAGCCATTTTTGACGAAATTTTTTTAATATCATTCGAAAGGTATTGTTGTCCTGAGCTCAAATTTGAAAAGATATTTCACCTGTGATCTTTTTTCGTAAAGTTATGAGGGTTTAAAGATTGCCATTTTGGCCATTTTGACCAATTTGGGACAATTAAAGCGCGATATAATTCGCGCTATTAACGCGTAAGCGCAGATTTAATCCGTCGTAGAAATCGTTCCAAATTGGTTAAAAGAAGCTTATATGCCACAATTGATTTGTTAATAGGCGCAAAATCTATCACTTTGTACTTGATATGACGTGTGGGGGGATGTTTTTACATAAAATCTCAAATTTTTTCAAAATTTTTTTAAAAGTTTTTTTTATTACACTGAAATTTTTCATCTTATTAATGCTCCATAGACATTGAAAGGCAGTCGGAACTTTCAGGGCTTCGCCCTGATACGAGCAGTCTTGTTTTTATTTTTAGCAATTTTAAGCTTAAATTGACGATAGCAAGCAACTGTTTCTCAGAAATACAGCGGCGGGAAATAGAGCTCACACAAAGCAAGCTACTGTTTCTCATAAATACAGCGGCAGAAAAATATACCAACGCTTACTAGAATTTCATGTAACCTATGCACATTTTATTTCACGTAACAGCGCTCGCTGACTGCTTGTATTTAATCCTTGGTTGGCTTTCATAATTCTGACGACATGGTATAGATAAGCCGACAAGGCATTAAGAAGACTTCATTCTTAACGGTCTTTAGTTACTCGCTCTAGTCAAGTTTAAACAAAACGGATCTTGTTACCTATTTCTCCTTGCGCTATTTCGATTTTATTTTAGAAATTTAGCTTTGGCTGCCATATTTTTAATAGCTTAAATCAATTTTCAGAAAATAAATTTAATTGAAAATTTCTATGTAGGTATTGTATAAATTGTGACTAATACGCAAATACGAACGCGCGAAAATGAAAAACCAATCAATGTTTGACGTTTTTGAAATGCATATTTTACAGAAATGGTTGTCATACTTCATTTAGGCTTGCATTTTGGTCTCAAAAATCTCTGGATTTTAACTTTTTGTAGTTCAAGGCAGAAATTATTGACTGAGATGTTTTCTAAATTTCCCAGATTTTTTGTCGTCCCAAACCACTTTCGTCTTATTTTGCCAGACACTAGCACATAATACCATCATGCATGCACAGTGCACACACAATATTTTACTCATAATTTTTGTCGTTTTTGTCTTGCTTATTTCAAATCGAACTAAATATGCCACTTCGAACACAAATTGTTTTAAAAAAATAACCGATTTTGGCCTGAAAATTGGCCTAGTAGAAATCTGCAGGTACGTTTCTTCACCAGACTAACACCTGCCACTTGAAAATTTAAAATCTAGTTTTTTTATTCAGAATTGATAATCGCATTTGGTTGAAGGATGCAATGACAGACGCAAATATACGGCTTTATTAAACAACACGCGGGCCGATGTGCTCGACTTGTATGTTATGACTTTGGAAGTCGAGTAGGCGCCGTTTGACAACTGAAAATTCGTGGTCGAGAAGAAATTTTAAGTCGAGTACAATGTCGAAAGACCCCAACTTCGGTCGAGAAAATCAAAACAGGTCGAGCGCAGCCAAAAAATACTCGAGTTTGGTCGATTAAGTCAAAACATCAGTCGAACAATCGGAAAATCGGCCGTACACCCCTTATTCAAAAAAACTTTCTTGTTTTTTGAAGAATTCAATTAATTTAAATTGAAAATTGAGCAAAAAAAACTGAGCTCAATGAAAATATCCATCAAAAAGTTGCACTCAGCAACAATCCATTCTTCTGAGGAACCCCTTTCATGAAGATCTAAGAGCTCTTGTTGCCACAAAAGGGTTTCCACGGCCAGAAAAATTTACACGTCCATTTAATTTCCTTAAATTTTAGTTTTCAAATTAACTGTTTCACTCCATTTTTGCTAAGAAAATCAGAGCAAAGCTAGAACATTCACTCAAATTATTTAAAAAAATTTCTGACAGAGTTTTGCAATTTAGTAGCTCCTACTATTTGTTTTCATTTCAAGCAGCCTCTTTAGAAATTACCTGAAAAACATGTTATAATTTTCATTTCATTTTATTCATATTAGTTCATAGTCGCGAAAATAGAAGATAGATCGAGCATACTCAAAAAATGCCCGATTTGAATACCCCCTAAGTGACTTACCGTTGAGTATCCCACTGGGCGCGAGGGCAAATCGATGGAATTTGCTTAATCCGCCCCTATAAAAATACATTGAATTAGCGCAAGAGCTTTTTTTTGAGAATTCAAACTCGACTCGCCTGCACTGAAGTTTCATGGATAATAATCAATTATATTGGATTTTCATTGTCAGTTTCTATAAATTAACAAAAATATTCGATTATAATCGATTAAAATGAATTATAATGATACTATTTTTTAAGCTAAAAAATCCCAAAATAGTCGATTATAACTGATTATAATCGATTATTTTCAACTTATTTTCGAAAAATTTCATGAAAAGGAAAATTATCAATTTTAATCGATTATAATCTATTTATTACAATCTTTCTATGTGCTCTTTTCATTTTTTCATAATAATGTTAAATTTAATTTTGTTATTTTGTTCTCTCGCTAAATTTACATTTGTTCCTAATTTCAATCGCGTTTATGAACATTTATAAAAAGTCACGTATTTTTGTTATTAATTTAATGTTAAGTGGGGGTGTGGTAAGCGCGTGGGAAGGGTGTGGTTTGGGTTTGAATGCGGGGAAGGAGGAGAGATGGGGAGGAGGGTGTGGACCTGGGGGAACCTAAGGGACGTAGAAAAGGGCATAGGGAGACGTAGAGGGGGGGGGGGTGTGAGTAACGTGTGTGTGTGTGTGTGTGTGTGTGTGGGGGGGGGGGGGGGTTATCGGTTTTATCGGAGGGGAAAATTTTTTATCGGTTATCGGTTATTTAAAATTTAGTCGATTTTTTTTCAGTTCGCCAATTTGATTTTCCGAGCACCCCACAACATTAAAGAGAACGCATTTCGACCAAATTTTTAGCGCTACAGGCAAATGTTTTGGAAAAACTTATCAGAAAGGTCATTTTTGGGAATTTTTTGGAAAATTCCTACATATTGGCCGCCCCTGGATGAGTTTAAGTTTTGGAGTTTTCGTTCGAGTTTTGCAGAAAATTCAAAAAGTGGAGTCATTATTAAAAAAATTTAATCAATTTTCATAGATTTTATGTACAAAAAAATCCATTATATTGATATAAAAATAGAATATAATCAATCATAATAGATTTTAGTGGATTTTTATTTCGAAAAAAATCGACTTAAATGGTTTAAAATTCATTACGTGGTCTAAATTTGCCATGATAATCGATTTTATAGACAACATTTTATTAGATTTTTCTCCATGAAACTTCGGTGCAGGCAATCTGCCGGTGCAGGCAATCTGCTTAACAATCTCCCACCCTTTGGCTAGTTGATTGCTTTATTTCTCATAAGCTCAATTTTCTTTTTCTCACTAATGCAAATATGTTTAAATTTGAACGGATTATGGTTGTTGTTTTGTATTTCTGAGAACTTAAAGTATCAAACTTATGCTAATCAATAGATTTTCATGTTTTCAAACTTTTATGCTAGTCGAGCTTTATGCTAGTCGAGCGGTCACCGACCTATGTCTTGTTTGTGCTTGACCTATGTTTCGACTTTCTCGGCCAAAATCGGGTATGTTTCGACTGTGCTCGACCTATATTTCTACTTTCGCGACTATGAAATATTATGAAAACAATGAAAATAATATTCTAATATATCTGTTTTACAGGTTATTTTTCAAGATGATGTATCAAATCGAAACAAAAAAATTTGCAGAGAAAACCTTTTTATATATAGACTTGAATTATGCAGCTTTACTCTGATTTTCTTTTTACATTTCTGTAGCTGGAATTGTTTGAGGAAATTAAAGAGACGCGGAAATTTTGGGAACCCCGTTTTTACTCGTGTTTTGATATAAAGTTTCTGTTTTTTTTTGCACGTTTTAAGGCAAAAAAAAACGTGTTTTGCGTAGAATAAATAGCGACTATATTCAACAAATCTTCAAAAAGTATTGATTCAAATTCTACAATAGTAGAAAATGTAGAATAACATTTGGACACTTTTCTGCTATATGAAATTTGGTTCAATACTTTTTGAAGGTTTTCGGGTTATTCTCTTTCTACGCAAAATTTAAAAAAAACAAATTTAAGCCGTAAAAAATATGCAAAAATCAGTAGTTAAAAATAATAGCTTTGACTCTCATCGACCAAACATGAAGCCAGTTTTTGCAATGGCAAAAATTTTTGGATTGAAGTTCTTATAGAAATGTACCAAATATGTTCTTTACATCAAATTGTGCTGTCACCTCTGCTCTAAAAAATCTTTGCCTTATATAAGCATCCCGCACCGGAGTTCCATGGATAATAATCGATTATTTTGAATTTTCGTGGTCTGTCTCAATAAATTTCGATAATAATCGATTATAATCGATTAAAAAGGGATTACAATATTTTATTTTTTATATCAATATAATCCATTATAATCGATTATAATCCATTAAAAATGGATTATATTTCGAGTATTTTTTATGCCAATATAATCGCTTATAATCGGTTATAATCAATTATAATGGATTTTTTTGAGAGGTTAGTCATGATATTTACAAGTTTTTTCAAAGTTATCGCAATTACTGTTTAGTGCAGTTGCTTTATTCGGTTTCATAAAATGTTACATCTCACTTTTCATTTTTTATAGTTTTTGTCTTATTTTGCCTCCCTGTTTTTGCCTCTCTGTTTACAACCCCCCATTTACCCCACCCCCCCCCCCCGTGTAACTTGGGTGGGGGTGACTGTAACTTGGGTGGGGGGACTGTAACTTGGGTGGGGGGACTGTAACTTGGGTGGGGGGTTGGGGATAAACTTTAGCAAAGATGGGGTGGGCGTAGGGATAAACATAGGGGAGTGGGGGAGGGGTTTTGGGCAAACGCGGATGGGGACAAAGTGTGTGGGGGGGGGGGGGTTAATTCGGTTAGGTTTCGATTGCGAGTAGGACATGAGTAACGCAGAAATATTGCAAGTTTTGCAAATGATTTTGCAAAAAAATGTATAAATTATAATCCGTTATAATCAATTATAATGGATTTTAAATGGATTATAATCCATTATAATGGATTTTAATGGATTGTTTGAACAAAAATAATCGATTATAATGACAATATAATCGATTTAGTGGTCTAAATTTGCCACAATAATGGATTATAATGACAAAATTTTAGACAACACTTTTCCATTATAATCGATTATTATCCATGGAACTCCGGTGCGGGATGAAGGCTAGTTCGGTTAATTTAATGACGTGCAGAACACTACTGGACCTCTTTTTGTAATATGCGGAATCACACAATACTTGTTATATTCAATTCAGTTTCATCTGCACTTCTTTTACCGCATGTATAACTCGATAAACTTAATTTTTCTTAGCAAAACTCGTCCTTCATAATTTGCATACGCTAAAAGTATCGTCTTAAACATTTTGGCTTTATAACACATTTTGCTCATACGTTGCAAACGTATTCGTCTCACAAACTTCAGCAAACTTTGCTACGTTGAAAACATCGTCTTAAACATTGTCTTTACAACAGAATATGGACACTGAACATCTACTTAACGACCTCAACATAGACACTGCAGTAGTGAATCAAGGCGTTCTCCATTTCAATGATACGACAACTGCTCTCAATGGGGACGCCTCTCTGATAAACGAGGATCAATATGCCGAACTGAATAGATGGAAAGACGAGATCATTAATATCGCTATCATCGGCCAATCAAGACAAGGCAAATCTTCCTTCATAAACGCCCTCTGCGGAGAAGAAGTAGCTGCTGTTGGGGACCTTGCACCGACCACTATGGAGATTCAAAAAGTTGCAAATACAGATTTCCCCAACTGTGTTTTCTGGGATCTCCCCGGCATTGATGGGATCAAGTTCAAACGAGAAACATACTTTGACGACATTAAACTGCAGGAAAACAACTACGACGTGTATATCATTGTCACCAAAGAGATGCTCGGAGACGGGGAGCTCTTTGTTGCCAAAGAATTGGTTGCAAGAGGAAAGTTGTTCTACCTTGTGCGAACGCACGTAGACGAAAAAGTGGCAAAGTTAGTGAAGAAGCAGAAAGTTAGCGAGAACGACGCCGTCGCTGAAATTCGGAAGCTCCTGATGACACAGCTTAACGAAAGTGGCTTTGATCAGGAGCTGCACAAGATATTCCTTGTGAACGTTGAAGAGCCCTTCGAAGCAATGCAATATTTCGATATGGCTCTGTTCGTGGAAACAATTTGCAGGCGTGGGTTTGCATCTCAGACAAAAGCTTCTGCATTTCTGTTTTCAATCAAAATCCGAGGGCCGCAGATGGTACAGGAAATGTACAGTCAGTTGAGGAAAAGAATAAAAGTTGTTGCAACGGCTTCAGCTGCTGGTGGAGCGCAACCTATTCCAGGAGTTGGAATGATCCTTGATGCGAAGTTAATTTACGATGAAATAAAGCTCTATTTGGAAAAGTTCAATCTCACCAAGGTATCCATTGCTGAAACAGAAAAGAAGGCTCACAAGGAACCAGAGAGTATTGAAAAGATGGTAGTTGCACTGCTGTCTTCCAAAAATGGAGCAATTTCCCTTGTTAGGGAGCAAAATCATTGGTTCAGCACAAAGAACCTTCACACACAAGTCTTATTAGTTTTCCTAAAAAGCTTAGGACTAGTTGTCTTATCGGAATCAGTTGAAGGAATGATGAAAGTGACATTGCCGATTGTGGGACTGGCAGCTGCTGGAGGCTTGTCATTTGTAACAACTCTGATTCAACTGGAGATTATTCTGAGAAGTGCTCGGAATGTGGCTTTGGAGGTCCAGAAGTGGATCGGAGATAAATCGCTGGATAAAGACCCAGACCCTTTCATGGATCCTGATTTCTTGTAGTTTGTATTCTCCTTGTGTCACTCAATTTTTTATTATTATACTTTGTAGTAGTGTTAAAAAGTTTAAAATAATTATAGATTGCTACAGATTATTGAAACTCGCAATTTAATTTTGTAAATTGATTACATAATTGTAAGCAGGGGCTGATTTAGGGGGGGGGGGGAGGGGGGAAGGGGGGCGCGGATTGCGGACGCTCCTTCCCCTCAGGGATTCGATCCCCTGCCAACCCTAAGGGTCCCACTTTCGTACCTTTTAAGAAATCCATTTTTGGCCGACCGACCCTAAAATTTTTCTAAAAGCACCTTTGGCGCGAAAATATACTAATTTTGAGCGGGGAGCGCGCGCCGAAAAAACGCGATTTTTTGGTCAACATTTTCCAAAAAGTGCTTAAAAACGCCTTTTTTGGACTCTTTTTTTTCAAAATTTTGCCTGCGGCGCGGAAAATTTGCCCCCAAAAAAACAGGGACTAAACCGTGCTTAGGGAGAGCTCGAAAAATCAATTCGGTCGACCTAAAAAAAAAGTAGACAAAAATTTTGAAATTTTTTAAAAATCCGCCCCCCCCCCCCTCGAGAAAATCCTAGATCCGCCCCTGATTGTATTTATGACAAAGAAGTCTAGAATAGATTGCTTTGATTAGTGTAATTGAACAAAACGCTTGCAAAAAAAACAGTTTCTGTCAACTTTTGAAAATATGTTTTATTTCGTTGAATCCAAATTTCCAGTGAATAAGAAGCTCTAATTTATGGTCAAACAGGGTGAATTTATGCAGTAAAGCAAAAATGAACAAGAAGTGCTAACCCGGGTCGGAGTCCACGACTAATATCTCGACTTTTTGGGTCGCGGAAATGTTAACTCCGTTACCAAAAATCCATAGTCTAGAGAGTCTTTAAAGTCGCTGACAAACTCTGGAAATACCGTATCTCGATTACTCAGTCGAAAAATTAAAAATTAGTAGCGGCCGCCAAACTTAGACGCAGCAATCAGAAATTAAGTGGCCAAGGTCAAAAAATTAGTCGCAGCGGTCGAAAAATTAGCCGAGGTGGTCAAAAAATTAGTCGCGGCGTCAAAAAGTCAGTTGCGGCGATCAAAAAATTATCCGCGGCCGTCGGAAAAAGTGTCGCAGCCGTCGAAAAGTTACACGGCGTTCGAAAAATTAGTCGCGACAGGGTCGAAACATTAATCGCGGTGGTCGAAAAGTTAATGTGTTTTATTTCGTTGAATCCAAATTTCCCGTGAATAAGAAGCTCTAATTTGTGGTCAAACAGGGTGAATTTATGCAGTAAAGCAAAATGAACAAGAAGTGCTAACCCGGGTCGGGGTCCACGACTAATATTTCGACTTTGTGGGTCGCAGAAATGTTAACTCCGTTACCACAAATCCATAGTCTAGAGAGTCTTTAAAGTCGCTGACAAACTCTGGAAATACCGTATCTCGATTACTCGGTCAAAAAATTAGTAGCGGCCGCCAGACTTTTTAAAAATCCGCCCCCCCCCCCTCGAGAAAATCCTAGATCCGCCCCTGATTGTATTTATGACAAAGAAGTCTAGAATAGATTGCTTTGATTAGTGTAATTGAACAAAACGCTTGCAAAAAAAACAGTTTCTGTCAACTTTTGAAAATATGTTTTATTTCGTTGAATCCAAATTTCCAGTGAATAAGAAGCTCTAATTTATGGTCAAACAGGGTGAATTTATGCAGTAAAGCAAAAATGAACAAGAAGTGCTAACCCGGGTCGGAGTCCACGACTAATATCTCGACTTTTTGGGTCGCGGAAATGTTAACTCCGTTACCAAAAATCCATAGTCTAGAGAGTCTTTAAAGTCGCTGACAAACTCTGGAAATACCGTATCTCGATTACTCAGTCGAAAAATTAAAAATTAGTAGCGGCCGCCAAACTTAGACGCAGCAATCAGAAATTAAGTGGCCAAGGTCAAAAAATTAGTCGCAGCGGTCGAAAAATAGGGTGAATTTATGCAGTAAAGCAAAATGAACAAGAAGTGCTAACCCGGGTCGGGGTCCACGACTAATATTTCGACTTTGTGGGTCGCAGAAATGTTAACTCCGTTACCACAAATCCATAGTCTAGAGAGTCTTTAAAGTCGCTGACAAACTCTGGAAATACCGTATCTCGATTACTCGGTCAAAAAATTAGTAGCGGCCGCCAGACTTAGACGCAGCGGTCAGAAATTAAGTAGCCAAGGTCGGAAAATTAGTCGCGGCGGTCGAAAAATTAGCCGAGGTGGTCAAAAAATTAGTCGCGGCGTCGAAAAGTTACTCGAGGCGGTCAAAAACTTAGTAGCAGTTGTCGAAAAGCTAGTTGCAGCGTTCAAAAATTTAGCCGAGGTGGTCAAACTAGTCGCAGTGGTCAAAAAGTCAGTTGCGGCGATCAAAAAATTAGCCGCGGCCGTCGAAAAAAGTGTCGCAGCCGTCGAAAAATTACACGGCGTTCGAAAAATTAGTCGCGACATGGTCGAAACATTAATCGCGGTAGTCGAAAAGTTAATCGCGGTAGTCGAGAAATTAGTCGCGGTGGTCGAAAAATTAGTCGTGGTGGTCGAAAAGTAGTCGAGGTGGTCGAAAAATCAGTCGCGGCCGCCAAAATTAGTCTCGGTGGTCAAAAAAACAGTCGTGACGGTCGAAAAAAATCTCGGCGGTCAAAAAACCAGTCGCGGTGATCGAAAATTTAGTCGCGGCGGTCAAAATTTAAGACACGGTGGCTGCCAAATTAGATGCAGCCGCAAAAAAGGCGTTCAAAAGTTTAGTCGCCGTGGTAAAAAAAAATAGCCGCGGCTATCGAAGAATTAGTCCCGGAGGCGTTCAAAAGTCTAGTCGCGGTGGTCAAAAAATGAGCCGCAGCTATCGATGAATGAGTCGCGGTGGCCAAAAAATTAGTCGCGGTGGTCAAGAAATTAGTCGCGGCGGTCGAAAAATTAGTCGCGGCATTCGAAAAATTAGTCGCGGCGGTCGAAAAATTAGTCGCGGTGGTCGAATAGTTAGTCGTGGCAGGGTCAAAAAATTAGTTGCGGCGGTCGAAAAATTAGTCGCGGCTTTCGAAAAATTAGTCGCGGCGGTCGAATAGTTAGCTTGGGTAGGGACGAGAAATTAGTCGCGGCGGTCTGAAAATTAGCTGCGGTAATCGAAAACTTTATTGCGGCATGTTCGCAAAAAGATGCGGCGGTCAAAAATTTATTTGTGGCGGTCGTAAGTTTAATCTTGGCCGTCAAAAAAATTGTCGCGGTCGTCAAAAAAATAGTCGCGATGGCTGGAAAATTAGTAGCGGTTGTCAAAAATTTAGTCGCAATGGTAACAAAAAGGGTCGCGTCAGTCGAAAAATTAGTCCCGCCCGTCAAAAAGTAGTCGCGCCCGCAGCTATCGATGAATTAGTCGCGGTGGCCAAAAAATTAGTCGCGGTGGTCAAGAAATTAGTCGCGGCGGTCGAAAAATTAGTCGCGGCATTCAAAAAATTAGTCGCGGCGGTCGAAAAATTAGTCGCGGCATTCGAAAAATTAGTCGCGGTGGTCGAATAGTTAGTCGTGGCAGGGTCAAAAAATTAGTTGGGGCGGTCGAAAAATTAGTCGCGGCTTTCGAAAAATTAGTCGCGGCTGTCGAATAGTTAGCTTGGGTAGGGACGAGAAATTAGTCGCGGTGGTCGAAAAATTAGTCGTGGTGGTCGAAAAGTAGTCGAGGTGGTCGAAAAATCAGTCGCGGCCGCCAAAATTAGTCTCGGTGGTCAAAAAAACAGTCGTGACGGTCGAAAAAAGCCTCGGCGGTCAAAAAACCAGTCGCGGTGATCGAAAATTTAGTCGCGGCGGTCAAAATTTAAGACACGGTGGCTGCCAAATTAGATGCAGCCGCAAAAAAGGCGTTCAAAAGTTTAGTCGCCGTGGTGAAAAAAATAGCCGCAGCTATCGAAGAATTAGTCCCGGAGGCGTTCAAAAGTCTAGTCGCGGTGGTCAAAAAATGAGCCGCAGCTATCGATGAATGAGTCGCGGTGGCCAAAAAATTAGTCGCGGTGGTCAAGAAATTAGTCGCGGCGGTCGAAAAATTAGTCGCGGCATTCGAAAAATTAGTCGCGGCGGTCGAAAAATTAGTCGCGGTGGTCGAATAGTTAGTCGTGGCAGGGTCAAAAAATTAGTTGCGGCGGTCGAAAAATTAGTCGCGGCTTTCGAAAAATTAGTCGCGGCGGTCGAATAGTTAGCTTGGGTAGGGACGAGAAATTAGTCGCGGCGGTCTGAAAATTAGCTGCGGTAATCGAAAACTTTATTGCGGCATGTTCGCAAAAAGATGCGGCGGTCAAAAATTTATTTGTGGCGGTCGTAAGTTTAATCTTGGCCGTCAAAAAAATTGTCGCGGTCGTCAAAAAAATAGTCGCGATGGCTGGAAAATTAGTCGCGGTTGTCAAAAATTTAGTCGCAATGGTAACAAAAAGGGTCGCGTCAGTCGAAAAATTAGTCGCGCCCGTCAAAAAGTAGTCGCGCCCGCAGCTATCGATGAATTAGTCGCGGTGGCCAAAAAATTAGTCGCGGTGGTCAAGAAATTAGTCGCGGCGGTCGAAAAATTAGTCGCGGCATTCAAAAAATTAGTCGCGGCGGTCGAAAAATTAGTCGCGGCATTCGAAAAATTAGTCGCGGTGGTCGAATAGTTAGTCGTGGCAGGGTCAAAAAATTAGTTGCGGCGGTCGAAAAATTAGTCGCGGCTTTCGAAAAATTAGTCGCGGCGGTCGAATAGTTAGCTTGGGTAGGGACGAGAAATTAGTCGCGGTGGTCGAAAAATTAGTCGTGGTGGTCGAAAAGTAGTCGAGGTGGTCGAAAAATCAGTCGCGGCCGCCAAAATTAGTCTCGGTGGTCAAAAAAACAGTCGTGACGGTCGAAAAAAGCCTCGGCGGTCAAAAAACTAGTCGCGGTGATCGAAAATTTAGTCGCGGCGGTCAAAATTTAAGACACGGTGGCTGCCAAATTAGATGCAGCCGCAAAAAAGGCGTTCAAAAGTTTAGTCGCCGTGGTGAAAAAAATAGCCGCAGCTATCGAAGAATTAGTCCCGGAGGCGTTCAAAAGTCTAGTCGCGGTGGTCAAAAAATGAGCCGCAGCTATCGATGAATTAGTCGAGGTGGCCAAAAAATTTGTCGCGGTGGTCAAGAAATTAGTCGCGG